CATATTTGAGTGGCTTTAAAAACGGTGCAGTTTTGCAACTTTTACAGAATCGTAATTATTATCTTATTATCATCCACTTATTTGTGTAGTGTTAGAAAGAGTACCTCCTAACCATTCAGCGCTCTACCGCCCAAGATGGGTCCAAACTCTAAACCTGTGTGTTTCCTCAGGCTGGTGAACACGTGCCTGGCCGAGGAGCTGAAAGAGATCCACGCTTTTGAACAGAAAACTCTCACACCGGAACAGTGGGAGAAACAGAAAGCACAATGACACACTCATCACACTCTCACACAGGCTCTGATATTGTGATATTTAGAAAGAATACAAGCACTGTCTATAAATCGGTAATATTATTATAAATGCAATGAAATCTTCAGCTGACAATAAAACACTTGGCTTCTGTATTTTGTCTTGTGGTTTTTTAATGAAAGTCAGTTTCATTTGAAGCTCTTGAGAGGAAGCCAATTAATATTGCATTCTAAAAATAGTCATCTGTCACTTAACAGAATGGGTGCACATTTCATGTTTCCCTCCAACAAATTAACATTTCAAATATAGACAAAGGGTGCGCTATACTGAATGCATTCAATCAATTTGTATTTCCTATATTCCTGGGCTGTATAAGATATAAGGAGAACTGACTAGTAAGTGGAACATTTGTATATCTGCAGATCACTATTTATGATATATGTATGATATATAGTCTTACTGAGTTAGTAAGAGGCTATTTTCTATCTGTAGTCCCTGGACAGATGTTGTGAGTCTCTTCTTTAGAGAACCCCTGATTTAGAGACTATATATACTAAAGCCATTATTAGCAGAATAGCCAACCACCAGGTGAAGGTTATGAAGGGTTCTACACATTTAATTTAAAATATCAAGTAAATACAATTCATGAAAACATGCTTACAATACTGGAAATGCTAATGAAACTCCAATGATAAACCAAAAACAGGTTTCATGTAGCAGCCTAACAGCAGCTGTCTGTGATCAGGTAAACAGTGAACAATGTGCATTGAGCATAAAGGAGATGGAAACATTGAAATACAACGTAGAGCATGATATGTTTATTCCCTTCTGATCATGAATAGTGTGTGCATGTGTGTGTTGAAGCCCAGTGAAGCCTCACACACATCACAGTGTGTTATTAAGAGCGTGGCCCCCCCGCTGTGTGTTTCCAGAGTCACACATTACAGCTCTGATCAATCTGTGGCTCACACACATTCGCTGTTTGTGTGTACCAGAACATGATAGTCCAATAATCATAAATACCACATCGAATCCAATATTGATTGGAAATTGACATTTATATACATATATATAATAGTTCAATAACTGTTAAACTACTCAGAGGTCAGTCAGGATACTGGCTGTGTGTGTGTGGTGTGTGTGTGTGTGTGTGTGTGTGTGTGTGTGTGTGTGTGTGTGTGTGTGTGTGTGTGTGTGTGTGTGTGTGTGTGTGTGTTGTGTGTGTGTGTGTATTCCAAATGAAATGGTTATGAAAGTGGAAACCTTTCAGTTGTTTCTTTCTCCTCACACTCCATATTGTTTTCATAATAAGTATTGATAGGTATTTTTTGGAAAAAGCGATCGTATCTCTCAATAGCCATATATCGCCATAGAGAAGGTGATCGGCTGTAATCTGCCATCCCTCCATGACCTGCATGCCTCCAGGACCCTGAGGCGGGCAGGGAAGATAGTGGCCGACCCCTCCCACCCTGGACACAAACTGTTCAGCCCCCTCCCCTCTGGCAGGAGGCTGCGCCCAGAACCTCTCTCCATCAGGACCAGAACCTCTGGATCAGAACCTCTCTCCATCAGGACCAGAACCTCTCTCCATCAGGACCAGAACCTCTGGATCAGAACCTCTCTCCATCAGGACCAGAAACTCTCTCCATCAGGACCAGAACCTCTCTCCATCGGGACCAGAACCTCTCTCCATCAGGACCAGAACCTCTCTCCATCAGGACCAGAACCTCTCTCCATCAGGACCAGAACCTCTCTCCACCTGAACAGTTTCTTCCCCTGCGCTACCGGCCTCTTAAACAAGGCCCCGCACTGACACTTACCTCAGCCACAACGCAGACTCTATACGCATTACATTAATGCACACAATGTTCAAATATTGCTTACTGCACATATTTCATATGTTATATTCTACAATTCACTGCATTCTATTTCGCTGCAAATTACTGCTTTATTTGTATTTTATTGCTATCTATCTATATTAGTTTACAGTGTTCTTAATATAGTTCTGGATTTTTGGGATTTTTGGTTTTATATGTTTTGTATGCACCATGACATCAAGTCAAATTCCTCGTACGTGTGAACCTGGCAATAAACCCCTTTCTGATTCTGATATTACACATTTATCTCAGGGGGCTTTAAGATCTGGACAGCATGCCATACCCTCCTCCATTCGACTCCTGCGACACACAAGGAACCCCCCCCAAACAGAAAGATGTTCAGCAGATGTCATGTGTACGGGATAAACAACGGTATAAAATGAGGATATAGACAATCTATTTGATAGAAATAATAATGTAAACACTTCAAACAGATACAACCACAAACGTCCTCCAGGTGAACATAAAGAGTGTCCTTTCAACTGAGGTCTGTGGTCGTACTGATATGTTAGCAGTATAGAAAAGATCAAATAATATAATTAACATTTCAATAATACTAATGCCATCAATCAAATATATTGTATACTTTATATTGTGGCTTTTGTGTCTGTTTTTGACAAACTTTCAAATGATGATAATAATATAACAATTAAATAATAATAATTACCCCCTCAAAGTAATATATTGTTATACTTTGTAAAAGTTAACTGGGCTACTTTGTCAATAACTATTTGTACCATTATATTGCAAAACCCACTCAAAGGAGTTTCTCTGTATGGATAGAGTAACATTTGGGTCGTAAACATTTCTCTTGTTCTGCTTCTGCAGAGAGCGCATGAAGCAGGTCCTCCTGTGTGATGGCAGGTATCAGCATATCATTTACCTCCCCTCAGCAGCTGGATGCTGATGTGATGTCCCCCCTCAGTGAGCAGCAGACAGGAGGATTACTTCCAGCACTCAGCCCCCCCCAGGCCTGCTAATGGAAGAGCGCACATGGGAGTGTCTTTATTCACTGCTCTTTTCACGCTTGAGAATACGACATTAACCTTGTTATTTATACCATAGCTGTTTCCCCAAGAGAGTGGTGAAGTAACAAAAGAAGGGATGGAAAAAATCACATCCAAGACTAACTGTATTCTGTTTGGCTTTAGTTTCAATTCATCTAGTGCTAGTCTAATAAGTCCCATACTGAAAAAAGGAGCTTTTTTTGTCTTGCAATTAGCCTCAGATGTATGCTAGTTGTTGGCAGTGGTGGATAGTAACAAAGAACACCCATGAATAATCATAATTATAACCCAGTAACTCATATGATTCTGTAGTGGGCCATTACACATTTCTGGCTGTATTAAAAACCATTTGAGATCATCACTGTGTGAAACAAGGAGGGACACTGAGGAGTTACAGGCTTCACTGTGTGAACATTGGCTTTCAACAATAAACTTCAAATAGACATGTATAAATATTGATTCAACCAAAAACAAAGTGAAAGTTGATGGATTTCGTCTTTCTGTTTTCTAACTGAAAAATTGACGATGGAATGAACACTGTAGCTATGTACGTATGACCAGTGAAAGCCTTGAACCTTGAATTGCTATAGATATGTGTAAGTAACAGGAGAACACAGCACTCAGCACCGCTAAGTCGACTCAAACACCATGGAATCCATGGGATATATTTGACCAAAATAAATAAATGTCCATATTTTCTAAATAAAATGTGCCAATGTTTCATATCGGGTTTTCTACAATAACGCTTTCATCCATTACACAATAAACAACCACATCCATCTTGGCATAATCTCAGTAAACACATTTCACCAGCATTTGCAGGGGTTTACACAAGCATGTTTTAAACCAGTTGTACAGGGTCAGATTGAAAGCAGTCTTTCTCAGATCCACAGAAGCAGAACGGGTCCCCTGCTGATCAGGGATCAGAGTGCAATAAATCAATAGACAGGCCTTGTGTGGTTGGACTTTTTAAATTAGACCGCTTGATTTCTCTGCAGGACTATTCCAGGCGCCCAGACACAGCCCATGCTTCTTCTCATGGAGTGCATTTATAATGAGGTTCCATTAGGCGCACCACCAGCTGATCCTGGTCCAACACCTCCTGGAGGGGTTCTCTCAGGCTGGACCTCTGTGTTCAACGCCTCAGTCTAAACTAATCACACTGTCTGTTTTCTCATGGGAGGGAATTATTAGAAAGCTGTTTTGTTCCACCTCTTCCTTTTCTGTCTGCTACACTGATCATGTTAATATTCTAGTGACCAAAACTGATGTAAACCAAATAAAAATGTAATACAGATTTAACTCTAAAATAGCTTTAAAGTTGTGGGTACATATCAGCGACGTGCAGTCAGGGGAGGCAGGGGAGGCAGAGCCTCACCTGTCATACTCATAGACTGGCCATACTACAATGTAACGGAAAAACAACTAAAGAAAAACTAAATAGTAATAATAAAATGTCTCCACTGATCTGTGTTGTAAATGTGATTTATGTATGATTCCAATTGCTTTTTATAGTCAAAATCAGCAAATTTGTCGAGCTCCGCTACAACTACGGGTAGCGATGAGAAGTGAGGCAGGGACGAGCTCTGCCTCACGTAAGCCCACAGTAACTGGCTGGAGCGCGGGCACTAATTTAGCGCGGGCACTTATTTTGTGAGCGCGCTCAAGCCAGTTACTGTGGGGTGAGGTGAGGCACAGATGAGCTCTGCCTCACCTCAAAATGCGTCACCTCACAGAAACTGTCTGGAAAGCGGGCACTAAGCGCATGCCTGTTACCATCTCACTGTCGGTCACCAATGTAATGTTTGTAGATCCCTTTATTACATTTATCCTCGCCATCCATAGTCTCTAAATAACTTATTTCACGTATATGATATTTAGGCTCGCCGTACAACGGCAATGAAAAAAGCACCAGGAGAGGCAGCCATAACCTCTGCCGCACTGAAGGGGGCGCACGTGAGCCCACATGTCCTTGTTGCTACTGTTATTCTACGCAGAGACGGTAGACCGTAGACGCAAACAACAAACTAGACTTTTGAAACTAGAGGAAGATAAGGAGGACTTTTACAAAAAAGTAATAGAGATTGTTGTCCTTGTCCAGAAGGATAGCATGGACTTCATCTTCAAGTCAAGGTAAGACCACATTGGTAATGAAAATTGGATCTTACTAAGAAAGAACAATCCAATATTTAGATTGTGGGTAACCTTTTGTTGAACGATCTGTTTAAAATGAATCGAAACATCAGACCAAAAAAGCTTTTGAAAATAACAGAATATTTCGATTATGGTCAAAATATGATATTTGTAAATCTGACTCTGAAAGAGTCAGTGCCTCACCAGCCATGAACCTCACCGCACGTCACTGGTACATATCTACATTAATCCAGAAGTAAAAAAGCTTAAATGTAAAAAAACACAATTCTTTCGAGGGAATCCATACACACGTGCCATACTTTTTAAAAATAAAAACATATCTATATTATGTGGTATACATTGTTGACCTTATTTTCTCTTCTTTACAGAAGTATAAATGGCAGAAATGACTATGAGTTTTATTGTTTTGCAATATTGGGGCAGATATGGCTCAGGGGTTAAATGGTTTTCTACCAGAGGGTCAGTGGTTCAAGCCCCTTCACTCAACATGTCAGTATGTAGTGTCTCTACTTTGCAGACCATTGACATGCACAGAAACCTATAGAACACACTACAGGAGAGGGGAAGCCCCACAAAGCATAACCCCAAGTGGCTCGCATGACAGTGTTGTTTAACAGTGTTAAATGGTATGTCAGTCCATTTTGATAATAGCATAAACCAAAATGACATATAAATCAAATGAAAACAGCCGTCATAACCGTCAAGATAAAGTGCTACATTTCACCTTCAGTCTCAGAACTAATCCCACCCCCCCCCCCCTCCCCACACACACTGTGTATCACTGAGTCTCTGAAAGTTGTTCTCATTACCAAAGAAACTGTTTTAAACTGAAGTATCCCATATAAAACGTGTCTCTGTTGTCCTCCTGAAAGTGGTCATTACTGATTCTTGTTACTAATGTCCAACATGGCGTGCAGCTCCCCAGGCTCATATCCCAGCAGGCCTTGCAGGTTGCACACGAAGCGGTACACGTAGCGTTTGCCTGCCGTCTTGCGGATGATGTTCTTGTCGTAGTAGTACCGGAGACCTCGACTGAGCTTCTCATAGTTCATCTTGGGTTTGTTCTTCCTCTGACCCCACAGCAGGGCCACCTGAAGAAACACAATACTATATTCATTTCATTAAGTAATTACATTTGTGACTTGAGTCCAAGTCATGAGACCCAAGTCTGCATCTCTGTTAAATAGTATTTTGGACAGGCGATATGGTTGGAATCACAATAGTAATAATGATAAATTCAGCTTTTACAATATATGTTGGTTTACATTTTCAGTAAAAAAAAAGTCTGGAATATTATTTTATTAACAGAAAAACTCTGATAGCCTAGCTTAAAAAAAAACCGGTCCTGCTGCCACTGCGTCAGGCCGTTGTGTCCCTGGACAAGACACTTCACCCGGATTTGCTCCTGTGGGTATTGTCCACAGTACATGTATGATACTCATGTGTACTTGTAAAAGCGCCTCGATGACTTCGAGGCGTGAAGATGGACGGTGTGGCGCAGTGCGCTGTGCAATGATCATCAGATCAAGGGGTGAAACCCGCCGCTGCTGCGTCTGTAAAGCCGGTGTGTCCTTGGGCAAGACACTTCACCTGAACTTGCTCCTGTGGGTATTGTCCACAGTGGTGACCATTGCATGTATGATATGTGTAATGTGTATTTGTAAAGCGCTTTGAGCATCTGGAAAAGCGCTATAATAAATGTAAGGAATTATTATTATTAAAACTAAGGCTAAAAGCAGAGAGAAGAGTTAGCCTAGCTCAAAGGTGAACATACACCTCCTCCTCTAGCAATACATGAACATCTGACAACCTGACCACAAGGTAGTGAGGTGTAGAGCAGCTGTTAGTAACAAATTGCTCACTACTGCTGAATACAATAAGCTAATATGGTTAAAGCGTGGTTAAATGCAAAATATCTCTACAATTGTTACAAGCTACCAAACAGTCCATTGACATTTAAATAATCCCCAACTTCACTAAGTGCAACATTGACATGAATGCATTCATAATTAAATATAAAAATGTTATATTTAAAAAAGAAATTAGTACTTTTACTTTTTGTACTTGAAGTATATTTTGATGGCAATACTTTTGCACTTTTATTTAAGTACAGTTTTGAATGCAAGACTTTGACTTGTAACAGAGTATTTCTACAATGCCGTATTGCTACTTTTACTTAAAGATCTGGGTACTTCTTCCACCACTGCCTGTGATGTATTACATCCCATATTGTTAACCCCACAGATATGTGGTACCTCATCGGGGTCCGTCAGCTTGAACTCCCAGCCGTCTCCTGTCCAGCTGATACAGGCCTGACAGCTGCGGTCTGTCAGGAGCTCCAGCAGGAACTGCCACAGCTGAATGGGACCACTTCCTGTTGGAACATGGAGGGACACATAGATTAAAGACTGATAGTAATCCACATGAGAACAAAAGATGTATTTCCTTCACGACTCACCAGTGTACCCAGCCAGGACAGCTGCTGGGATCACCGCTCGGCTCAGATCCCATTTGTTGCCTATATACTCTTTGAAGCTCCTGTGTGGGTAGGGTAAGGTGAAGATGTTGTGATGCATGGTCTCCTCTGTCACTGACTCTATGTCCTGAAGGGGAGCAGCCCATAACAGAGAGCCCCCCACGTCGGAGTCCTCACTGTGAGCGATCTCCACCTCTGAGTCTGTCTCTGCAGGCACACAACAGGAAGAACACGGGAACACCTTTGATTTGACTATTAACATTTGAAATGGTGAAGGCACTAGCAATTGGGGGATGGAGGGCTCTCAGGACATGATAGAGAGGTGTGTGGCGCAGTAGATTAGTGCATTGGTGTTGGGATCAGGTTCAAACCCCACTGCAGTCAGCATGTCACTTCATTGCCCACAGTATTGAGTATGTAAGTCGCTTTGGATAAAAGCGTCTAACAAGTGACATGTCATGTAATGATTCAAAAAGCTTTTGGCAGCCATATTGAATAACAAACCAATGTGATTTACTTGTTATCCACAGTTTAGCTGCTAAATGTTACCTTTACAAAGCTATGCTGAAAACACGGAAACAGTGACTTTAATGAAATGTATTATGTCAGCAAAGTTCATATAACGATATTAGGTTAGTTGAACCTAATCTTTTTAAAGTTAAACTCAACACTTTTCTTTGAGCTCCACATATCTAAATGTATAACGTGTGTTTTCACCTCCGTTCCCTCCTGTTTGCTGCAGCATGGCAGCAGCGGTCAGGATGGGATCCTCTGTGATCAGATAGTAGTCCTGATGGTGTCCGCTGACCGGGCGCAGGGTGTGGAGCTGCCTACTCTCAGCGGGGGGGAACTGAACGTGGAAACTGTGTTTCTCTGAGGGATCCTCCATGTAGTCTGAGAAGCCTTCTGAGGAAACAAGGTCAAACTATTTAGGATAATACTATGACAAGGAACAATGTTTAGGCAGTGGTAATATTAGTATGTACACTAGACATATTTACATTCAATTCAATTCAAAACCTTTATTTATCCAGGTAAAATCCCACTGAGATCAATGATCTCTTTTTCAAGGGAGACCTGCAGCAGTAGGTTCCACAAGAAGACATACAAACATAAACAACAGAACAACAAAAGGACATCATACAGCAAAATGTACAGGGATTACAATTTACATATCTAACCACATGTACAGGTACCAACAGCATCTGATTTTGTAGCATCCAACCGAGCTTTAAAAACATGTAGTGGTACTAGCGTGGTAATTTTCCATTCTTTTTGCAGACTGTTCCATGTTAGTGGAGCTGCACATCTAAAAGCTTTCATTAGTACCTTTGTTGACTGGAAGCTGGCAGTAAGAGGGTATTGTGCAGGTGGGGGGTGAAGAACTGAAGTCAAACTCATTCTCTAGAATCAAAGAGATGTACAAGAAAACATTGTGTTGTATTCCAGCATCATTGACATGGACTGGAGAAATATGATAAAGAACATGTGTGTGTTTGTGCCGATACAGTCGATACACGCAAACTGCCCACACATTTGTGTTTGTGGTGACTCACAGTAATGCAGCCATACAAATAGAGCGACAACTAACAATTATTTGTCAGTATGGACTGAGTGTTGTTTTAATTTGATATAGAACATTGAACATCTGGAAATCTCCAGACGATTTTAGATGTATTTATTGATTATCAAAAGAAGTTGCAGATTTACTTTATTCATCCAATTTTGGATGTCTTCCCGCCACAGCAGCATGTTAACAAGGCATTACACATCATGTGGAAATGATAAAGATGTGAGGTTCAATAACATGTAGAATCATGACTTTGATTTATCAATAAGATTAAGGATTAAGATTAAGATGAACCTTTTTTGTTGGAAATTCAGTTTTCCACTCTGCTTATTCAAATATACTGTACATAAAACAAACAGTACACAACATGCATTAGAATAAAGGTATTTGTGTTCGGTCTGATTGGGACTTGATCCGGCAACCCTCCGGCCGAGTCTCCACAGACTGAGCTATGCTGCACAGTATACATAAAGCACAATAAAGGCTTAATGAGCAAAGCAACGGCAATGTACATTCCCAGGAAGGTGTGGAAGAATCCGATTGTCTCTGAACATATCTGTACCTCTCCTCATGGTCTCCAGGTGCTCCCACAGGATCTCCCCCGCCGTGCAGTCGGTCATCAGGCCCAGGAAGGCCTCTCTCTGCAGGCTGCACAGCTCCCCCCCCTGCAGCCCCCGCAGGTCTGAGACCAGGCCCTGGAGCCCGAACTCCGCCTGGCACCAGTCCAGCCAGTAGTTCACCTCCCACTGCGACCACAGGGTGGGGTCTGCACAGAGGGGGAGAAGTACTCAGATCTGCTACCAGAGTGTAGGAATACTCTGTTACAGTAAAAGTAAGTACATTGAATTCAAAATGTTCCTCAAGTGAAAGTAGAAAAGTATTCTCATCAAAATATAGTGAAAGTAGCGACAGTAAAAGTAGTCGTTGTGCAGATTGGTCCATTTCAGAATAATATATATGATATGTTTTATAATGATTGATCATGAAAGTGTTCTCAAAGCTGGTGAAGGTGCAGCTAGTTTGAATGACTTTGTGTACTGCAGGGTAGCTTGTGGATTTACTCCAGGTGGAACTAAAGTCTGATTTAACACTTGATTATATTTCACATCATTCATCCACATCTGTGAAGTAACTAAAGTATTAAATACATGTAGTGGAGTAGAAGTACACCATTTACCTCTGAACTGTAGTGGAGTAAAAGTAAAGTAGCAAAGCATTGAAATACTCAAGCGAAGTACCTTGAAATTGTACCTAAGTCATAGGCGGATTTTGCGGGGGGGAAGGGGGGGCATTGCCCCCCCCTGGTGGCTGAAATATGTTACTGCATTACTAAGTCTAAAACTGTTCCAATACAAATATTTCGTATATCAATATTTTAATAGATGTAATAAAATGATTGTTACAATACAAATCTGAATAATATCATGTTTTGTTTGAAATAATTTCATTTTTGAGCAGTCGCATGTTGTGACGTTTGTGTGTGTGTGACGTGTGAGGTTAAGGACACAAGTTCCCTCGCTTTTTTTATATACAAGTGATTCAGCTATTGTATTACAAGAATTAGCAGTAATGGATATTCAGCGATTTTTAAAACGTCCAATTTCGTCTTGTAAAAGCTTCAACAACAGAAGAGCCACCGACTGAGCCCAGTGGCGTTTTCTCCCAGAGGCCAAGGGAAGCCAGGCTTCCCCTGTTTTTTCGGATTGTAGTTATAATTTAAATAAATAAATGAAAACACTTTGTTTTGTTTCGATAATTCTCCTTTGCTGCCGGCCCGTCTCTCCCCCATTCTCATTGAGTATTTTACAAAGAGTGAAACAAACAGCGCCCCTCTAGATGTTATGGTGAAACAGTAGATTGCACTCACTGTTGCGAGAGGAGGCCAGCCGAATCTGGCTTCCCTTGGTGAAAAAAAATGGAGGGATTGACCAATCAGATGAAGCTCACGTGATGCCCCTGCCAACCTGTGATTGGTCAGGGCCATGCCAAGGGAAGCCAGAGGCGGCTGGCTTCCCTTGCCTCATAATCCAATCAAATCGCATCAATTTAGTGTTGCAGTGACGAGTCCTAAAATCCGGAAGTAAGCTGCTCTCGGTTTCCCTCGACAAAAAGGCAATGGGATTTCTCCATAGGATTTCGGAAAATAGCTCGAAATAAGGTCAGTGGAAAACGAACCTGTTAGATAAATGCAAGTTTTGTTCAGTCGGATAATATCCACCTACTTTTATAATTTTCGAATCATAAATCTAATCGATAGAAGATAGATAGTGCCACTGCACCACTCTCACCGCCGTTAGAAAGTAGCAAGCAACTGAAGCAATTATGGAGGGTGGAGATTTGGAGTATTTCATCAAAAGTAATTGTACTAAACTTCCGCTACAGCAGCAACAACAAATACAATCTGATGACAGGCCGATGCCCAAACTGGAGCTGTGTACAGCGAGGAAAAAAGGAGCGAATCTGACGTAAAACGTTAAAGGTCTCCTGATTTAGTTTGTGAATGAATGCTTATTAGAGTTTCGGCTGGAGAGTGCGTGCGGACCTGTCGGTTAGATAACAGGCGTGTGTAAGTCGTGCATCTGTATGATACAAATGTGTGTAAAATGACACCGGGTGCTGTAATCACTCATCTGGTTACGTTATTACATTGACCACCACACCCCCGACCCAAAAGAAAGGACGTATTATTGGCTTCCCTATTATTTTTCCCACGCCACGCTACTGACTGAGCCTAACCTTACCTTACCTTACCTTAGCAGCCGTCAGAATGTGAAGTGGCAGACACACAAACAAGCAGCTAAACCAGTTAACGTTAGCCCCACAGCGGAGAGCTCTGGATTAGCAGGACCAGCTAACGTCATTAACCCCACAGCAGGGAGACCATCGGTGCCGGGGCCGTCAATGGGTCATGATGATCTTGGGGAAAAACACAGCTGTCCCAAGCAGCCTACTTTATCCGAATTCCCCTCAAAAATGATTGGGAAAACAAAACGATAATTTTCCACGTACAATTACAAGAACTATCCCTGGCTGGAATATTCAGTACGAATGGATGCCGTCTTTTGTTTTTCATGCCGCAACTTCCAGGCTGACAGCGGTGTGGAGGATTCCTTTAGAAAGGGCCTGAATGACTGGAAAAAAACTAAGCAGCAAACTGGAGAAACATGCACACTCCCAGGCCCATCTGAACTGCATGGTTAAATGGGATAACTATAAAGTGACTGCGTCTTCTGGATCTATTGCAGCTAAACTTTCCCGAAGCCACGAAGATTCTGTTGAGAAGAACAGATCTTATTTGTGCAAAATTGTTGATATTGTGAGGCTGTTGTCCAAACTCGGATTGCCTTTTCGTGGGCATTGGGAGGGAAGCGAGTCAGAGTCGCGTGGGAATTTTCTTGAGGTTTGTGGCTTCTTCTCCAAGTATGATTCTGCTTTTAAAAACATGCAGTCCAACTATTTCAATGCGACTAGCCCAGATTTCCAGAACGAAGTCATTGACATATGCGCTAACTTTGTGCAGAAATTGTAGAGAAAGTGCAGGATACTGGATTTGTTTCTATAATTGCAGATGAGGCCAGGTCTTGCAAAACGGAACAATTGTCAGTATGTTTAAGATATGCAGAGCAGCTTGAAATCAAGGAGCGTTTTTTGTGTTTTATTGATTCATCTAAATGTATACAAGATGCTCCAGTTGGCACTGACTCTGCCTATCGGATCTGCCACCTCAGAGAGAAGTTTTTCTGCAATGAGCAGAATTCGGAACTGGCTGCGGTCAACGATGGGAGGAACAAGATTTTCCTCACTTGCTGTTCTTCACATTGAGGACGACATAACTAATAATATATGCGGAATATATGCGGAACGTAAAAAAATGTGTCTACTTCTGCACTAAGGTAGGACACTGGTTAATAATATTGTAGCGTGTTCAAGTAACCAAGGGATATAGTAGTTATCAAATAAGTATAAGATGTGCACAGTTAGGCCTATGTAATGCACTGTTGTTGGGGGTGAGACCGCCCCTTCCATATGAGTGTGTGTGTACGGCGGGCATGAGGCATAACGTGCATAACGGGACGAGTTGTGTTCGTATGAGGAAAAGTCATACTCAGTGCAGTGAGTGCTGGCTTTATTGCTACTGTATCCGTAGCACCCCACGCAATAGTTGGGACTGTACTGACGTCAGTAAAAAAGGTTTGCCCCCCCAAGCGCAAATGTCAAACTCCGCCTATGACCTAAGTAGTACTGGAGTAAATGTACTTTCCACCCTGGATGTGAACATGCAGATGTTAATAACTGCACCTCTATGATTCCAAACACTGCACCATATCATCAGTAATGGGAGTTTCTCTCTGTAGGGTAAAGTTACCCTGTGGGAAGTGATGGATGATTCTCTCCTGGGCGAACCCAGCGAAACTGGCCTTCACCGCCTGGCTGAGGACCTCCTTACTGGTGGGGGTAAGAGGGGGGACCTCCAGGGCATCCATCTCTGGGACAACAGCACAACATATCATCCTCCCAAACTCTAACTCGTTCCACTGTTCAGGAAACCTACATTGTATCAGTGAAGTAAATATATATTTGTAACGCCATCCACCTGCCAGGGGCTGCAGAGGAAAGCTAGCCTCTCTAATCCGGAACATTCACATCATGTTGATTCATGTGCATTGTCCCTTCTGAAATAAATACAATATATCAGATGTGTGTGCTTGTAAATAAAAGGACTAGATTGTCTTCAACTGATTGGTCAATTATTCTGCTCATTTTGTGTCCGCCTTGTTTTTCAGACCTTTTTTTTAACTTTTGTTGCATTTTTCTCAATTATTTTAGCTGAATCTTTTTCCCCATTTTTTTGTTTTGTTTGTTTTCCCTGTTAATTTCCATTGAATAAGCCCATGGCTTTTTCACCTCTCCTGACCATAGACTGTTTATATCTGCTGAGATATAACCCTTCGATGCCCGAGTGATGGACCCTACTCTCTTCCAGTGGGTCAAAAAGGACCCGTATTAGAATAATATGTTTTTATGCCATTTTTGTCATTTTGGTTAAGAAAAATTACTTATATCATATTTAGTATTATATTTTGGTTCACACTAGAAATATTTTATATTGACTTTTTCACTATTTAGAATTTTAGACATTTCTTTTACATTTTGAAAAAAAAAAAGAAATCCCATAGGAAACGCACGCGGGTCATTTTTGACCCACTTATGGAAGCTTGGGGTAGTTAATACAAAAACTACAATTTCTTAAAATGTATTGAATTTAAATTTAACATTTGAATGGCATGATATCCAAAACATGTTTTTTGAGGAATAGCTGGAATAAGAAATGATAAAAAAATGTAATGACAAAGATACTCTAAGAAAACCACCTCACCGGGTCAAAAAAGACCCACTTATGCATCTAAGGGTTAACTAATAAGACAGAAATAGATGACATTATGACATGTTTTTTTAGTATTTAAGGTTTTTTTTTTAAACAATCCCATAGATACACATTAAACTTACATGTCAGCAATTGCATGTTCGAAAACGTAATTGATATTCAAAATAGTCAGTCACTGATCACATGATCAACATAGGCTCAAAATGATGACATGCACATTATGCATTAATGTGTTATCTAAAGCTGGAACTCATTTAACCCCCTGTGTATTTACAGCTCATATCTTCATACAGTACAGACTCCTTTACTAATGTTCTAAACTGCCTGATCAGCTGTGCACACGCTCATTATTACAACATCAACAGTTTATTCCTTATGTACCAAAAGCATTCAATGCAAACACTGAATTGATTTAAAGCTTCCTTTTATTCCCATTCCACCTATAACTGAAGTTTAAAAAATGATTTCATACATTATCCCAATCATACAAGTGTAACAGTCAGAATCAAGGCAAACAACAATCACACCTGTATCATTTGGATATGATTTCAGGTTGATTATTAAAACAATACAAATCATTTGTGAGAAAAGTTATTGATGACAATAATAAACACTTGAACCTGTTTACGACTACATTACAGTTCATTAAAAAACAGTCATGAAGTGTTTACCGCTCATATTCTGCTTTAAAATACTCACAAGGTGCAAAGTTAGTAGTTGAAATAAAATATGATTGTAGAGCCAGATTGGAACAAGCTAGACGAAGACAGCTGAAGAGTGATTTATAAATCGTGTTCTTACCGTAGTTACTGCAGTCCATCCCAGTGGGAAGGAGGTGGGGATCAGGTGGAGGAGACTGAGACCACAGAGGGGGAATGGGACTTAAATATGACATATGGGAGCGGAGGAGGGGTCTGGGTGAGATGGACAACTGTCAATCATTTTGGTGTGGGAGGGGCGGGAGCAACAGGTCCGAGGCCACGTGTGGAATCACAAAATCAACAATTTAAAAAAAGTCATGAGACACGAGAAACAGTCATTTGTTAATTAGAACACATAACAAACCTTTCATCATGTCAGACAACCTTCATAATATTTCTTAATTGCAGCATCATAGTGTAGTATAGTTATATATTTTAGTTCAGATTAGGGTATTTTTATAATGCATCCATTATTTATGATTAAATATATTCAATCCATTGTTTTATACCCCACTGTATGTCACTAAAACAGTTAATATATATATATATATATATATATATATATATATATATATATATATATATATATATATATATATATATATATATAAACTGTGTATTGTACAGTGATAATATATTTTTAGTCAACTTTTTTTTGTATTGTTCTACATGTTTAATGATTGTGTAACGTCTGTTAACATGTTGATGTGACAAAAAAAATCCCAATTTGGGATTAATCAAATATAGTTCAACACTTAAAAGACTTTTACTCAGATTTCACGATCACTCTCAGGACTTCTACCTTCCATATTGACAAACATCCCTTAATCAATACAGAGAACCATTTATTTGTAAAAACCACAATCAACACTTACATTATAGTCATTTTTAAAATATATGAAAAGGACTTTATACCACTTTATGTATTTCATCGTAATGCATCTCAACTCTTAAACTTATATTTCAATTTGACTTTTCTATCCATTTGTGAAACTTAGATGAATTATGCAGTCTTTGTTGTTTATTGTTATCCTTTTTCTTCTTCATGAATGACTATAGATATGGGAGGTGTCTTCATAAGCCATGTGTTGCTTCTAACCTCTCAAACCTCTTTCTAAAATTCTTACCAGCTTTTCTTAAATGCCATTATGTGCGCATTAATAAACAAAAACTTTCCAATCTCTGCTCTGGTGTTAGAGATAGACAGAACATTCTCCCTTGAAGTTCACCTATTATGCTATAATTGAACAATGTATAGGGCCATATCTATACAAAACATGTCTCTGATGTGTTTTGCTCAAAATACCAAACAGACCACCCATTGTAGCATGCCTCATACCCCTCTATTTCAGCCCTGTTACTAAAGTGCTGATTCTGGGTCTGGCCCTGAGCTGGTGCTTGCCACGCCCCTTTGGAGCTGCTGCTGGCCACGCCCCTTTGGAGCTTCCTCATGCAAGCAGTGAGCTCTGAAGAAAAGGCTGTCTACCAGCAGAAACTCAGCTAAACGCTGCCATATTATGTTCCAAACCACATCAAGCATTATTTCTGAAACAGTATGGAGCTCAAACACTTTCTCTCTCGTGTGTTTACCACAAGGTCAGTACCTTTGATATCCTGCTTCTTTACACATGCTCTCTCCAGTACAGGTTAGCTCTGAGTGTTAGCGATGCTTGCTAATGTAAACAGACGATATTACTTCCAAAACACATTGCGCATTGTTTCTGATACAGCGACGTTTCTGATAGGGGACGATACGTTGGGACGTGGGTGGGACGTTGCCAGGTCAATGTCAATGTAAAGCCAGCCCACATTTGAGTAATGTAGTCATGACCGCAGCAAATCTGGATCAGCTCCGTTAAACCCCCGTTTTTAGAGGACAAGTATTTTCTGACACTTGTTGAGTCTCCTTACACACCGGGGACACATTATTATGTTTAGAAGACATCAAAAAGTGCATAATAGGTGACCTTTAAGTTTAAAGGTGGGGTATGTAAGTTTGAGAAACCGGCTCGAGATACACTTTTTGTTATATTCCATGGAATGCTCTTAACATCCCGATAGCAATGAATATCTTAAGTGCTTTGATAAAAAATCCATAAAAAAAATTTCATCTGTGGAAGCACGACCAATTATTTTAGCCGGCCCGGCAAAAGTAACTGGATGGCCTACCTGCCTGTCAGCGTCCCATCGGGGCACAAACTTATCTCGTGCCCTCATTGGTCATGTGCGCGTTCGTGTGTGTTGGAGGAAGGGCTCTGTGAGGAAGTGGCAGATTTTCTCCGGTTGTGTATTTTCAAATTCTAGCGATCTCGAGCTGGTTTCTCAAATGTACCTACCCCACCTTTAAGGGTTTGATCTGAAAATGAACCCTGTATTACACCTTCCATTCTAAAAAGCAGACCAGGATCTCGACTGCCCCCTGCTGGTACACTACACATTCACTCTCTTACAGTGTACAGATGTCTCTCTGGACCTTCTCTTTCTGCCATTTCTGATATTACATCAGCATGTGCTTCATCAGTAAAGCTTTCCTGGAGGAGACTGATTTGAAAAAGTCTAGATGTGACATTCCTATGAAAGCTGCTGTAGAAATATCTGGTTAATGTATCATCCAAAAGGAGGGAAGGACTTTTCATTTAACTATGGAGGCCTGAGAGGCTTTACATACAGAAAATACATTCTGGTGACACATTTTCTAAATGTAATTAGTTTTGTCCCCTGTGCTAGGATAATTTCTTCCAAAGAAATTAATCTCAAAAAGCACATTGTTTTTTCTCCTGTTCCTCCCACCGCAACTAATTCATAGAGGGAAATCAACACCTTTTTTTGTCAATTGCCTTTTTAGTGCTAAGTGAACTTATTCTTAACCATATATATGTACACTACTTATATGTCTTTATATTGTATTAATGCAATCTTATCTCTATATGTTAGATTATTCTTTTGTGTTGCCTTTTATCTGTCACTTTTAAAGTAATGCTCTAACTGCGGACTAAAAGGATTTCTGATTCTGAATGTTATTTTGATGTGTCAACACTGAGTAGCTAAATGAAACGAAACGTCTGAGCTGTTGATAGTTTTGTCATTTATTGACAAAAAGAAAAGAAAAGCATGGTCTTCTAGTGAAATGTTAGGTGTATGGGCTTTCTGCAGTCTACAGCACCACAGCTCATATGCAGTAGCTTGAGGAGGAATATATGCTGTTACATTACATCAATGGAGCCGGTACCCAGTGTCTTGGACTAAAGTATGGTATACATACACACATACACAACTACAGTACATTACAGAACACACACATTTTCAAGATGAATTCAGTCACTTAGATTTTAGGCAGAGAAGGCTTTGTTAATTTCTAACACTTTTAGGAAGAGACAGACATAAACATGCTGAGACA